ATTTTAAGATCTCTTGTTTGATTGTCACCAGATTGTAGAAAACTGTTCTCTCTGAAAGATATTTATTATTTATGATTTTAGATTCTTGTAATTTCTTGTAATAATTGTTGTTATCTATAAAGAAACTAAATGAAAAAAGGGTAAAACTGTGAAAGTTACTTAGAGAAAAATAACTCCAGTCTTTCCTGTGCTTTTCCCGGCATTCTTTTTATAAACAGTGTTTTTTCCTGTACAGTTTGTCATTTACAGCTGAGCTTCCAGTGAAGAGTGAGCGTGTTTGTATGTAAGCAAAAGGATGTTTCCTGATTTTGCCTCTATTACGTCATGGCAAATTTAATATGTTTGCCTGTTTCGAGCTGACCCTCCCCGCTGTTGTCAGTCGGTCACTGGACATTTTTTTATAAACCTGCAGGGTCTCGAGAAGGAGTACTCGTTTTGTTGTTATTTTCTGATGGGTGAGGATTATAGCATGAAGCAATTATGTCGGTGGTGAAATAAAGTTGGTGATCAGGTTTGATTCAGAAACGACTGTGTGGGTGTTGAGTACAAAGAATAGATTAGACAAATTTTTGAAAGGCTCAGTCGTCTTCCCCCCCCCCCCCCCCCCCCCCCCAGACAGCCACACACACACACACACAAACACACACACTTTCCGCTCCCCCCTGCTTACTGGAAACCAGTTTAACTGGTCGGCTTCGCCTTCAGCAGGGGAGGGAGAGACGGGGACCTTACACGGAGTTTCAGGAAAGTATTTATTGCCCTTTTAAAAAAATAGAGTTTTGTGTAGAATCAGTATTTCTCATAGTTCTAGTAGTTATTCACAGGAAGTCTGTGCTGTAACGTTAAAACAAAATTAACGAAACACTAAACTTTAGGACAGAATTTCCTGAGAAACCTTTTGATTTTGACTTTTTAAACTTTTACTCTTTGACTCTTAAACTTTACGTTCGCCGTAATCCTTCGTATAAAATACTACATGATATTTTTCAAAATCTTAACTTGTCAAAAATGGATATCCTTTCTATTAAAGCTTTAAAAGCAACCATTAAGGATGATTCTAAAGTTCTTTTAAGTCAAATGAAAACCAGGGGTGTACCCCACCTTTTGCGCAGTTGCTGTTGGAGCTGTGACCCTAAAAGAACAAAGTTTGTAAAAAAAAAATGGACGGATGGATTTGCAGCAAACGCAGAACCTTTTTAATTAACTGCTTTATTTTAGCGAGACCAGAGTTATCGCACTCATTCAAATTTTTTTTCACACTCAGAAGCATTAAAAGCATTCCTTTCCTGTAGAAAGGAATAACATTTGCTCTGGCTCCTTGACTGCAGTGCACACACACATACAAGCAAAATAAAACATTAATAATGGATACAAATGAGTACATAGTGTATACAGTGGTTTGCAAAAGTATTCATACCCCTTGAACTTTTCCATATTTTGTCACATTACAACCACAAACATAAATATATTTCACTGGAA